GACAGCTGTTACGTCCTGGAGAATGGAGACTCCACCCCGAGTCTGTTCAGCTGATATGGGCGCGATTCGGGGAGGCCCAGATCGATCTGTTTGCTTCCCCCGAGAACGCTCACTGCCAGTTGTTTTTTTTCCCTGACCGAGGGCTCTCTCGGCACGGATGCACTGGCCCACAGCTGGCCTCGGGGCATGTGCAAGTATGCGTTTCCCCCAGTGAGCCTGCTCGCGCAGTTTCTGTGCAAGGTCAGGGAGGACGAGGAACAGGTTCTGCTAGTTGCGCCCCTTTGGCCCAACCGGACCTATATATCAGAGCTCTCACTCCTCGCGACGGCCCTCCCCTGGCGGATCCCTTTGAGAGAGGACCTACTCTCTCAGGGACAGGGCACCATCTGGCACCCTCGCCCCGATCTTTGGAACCTCCACGTGTGGTCCCTAGACGCGAGGAAGACTTAGGTAACCTACCGACTGCGGTGGTTAATACCATCACTCAGGCTAGAGCCCCCTCCACGAGGCGCGCCTACGCCCTGAAGTGGAGTCTATTCACTGAATGGTGCGTCTCTCGCAGAGAAGACCCCCGAAATTGCCAGATTAGTGTTGTGCTCTCTTTCCTTCAAGAGAAGTTGGACAGCAGGCTGTCGCCCTCCACTCTCAAGGTTTACATGGCCGCCATCTCCGCTTATCATAGCGCGGTAGCTGGCGGCACCGTGGGAAAGCATAACCTGGTCATCCAGTTCCTTAGGGGTGCTAGGCGAATTAATCCATCTCGCCCCCCTCTCATGCCCTCTTGGGATCTCGCCCTCGTTCTCACGAGTCTGCGATCCGATCCCTTTGAGCCACTCGAATCAGTATCTCTAAGATTTCTGTCCCTGAAGACAGCTCTGCTGGTTGCATTGGCCTCCATCAAGAGGGTCGGGGACCTGGAGGCATTTTCGGTCAGTGACTCGTGCCTGGAATTCGGGCCGGATTACTCTCACGTCATCCTGAGACCCCGCCCCGGTTATGTGCCCAAGGTTCCTACCACCCCCTTTAGAGATCAGGTAGTGAACCTGCAAGCGCTGCCCCCGGAGGAGGCAGACCCAGCAAATTTCTTTACTTTGTCCAGTTCGCGCTCTGCGCATTTATGTGGACCGTACTCAGAATTTTAGATCATCTGAGCAGCTCTTTGTCTGTTATGGCGGTCGGCAGCAGGGAAGTGCCGTATCAAAACAAAGATTATCCCACTGGATTGTGGATGCCATTTCACTCGCTTATTCGAGTCGAGGTCAGCCGTGTCCCCCGGGAGTTCGTGCACACTCCACTCGGAGCGTTGCATCCTCTTGGGCGCGTGCACGCGATGCCTCTCTAACAGACATCTGTAGAGCTGCGGGCTGGGCGACACCCAACACATTTGCAAGGTTTTACAATCTGCGAGTGGAGCCGGTTTCCTCAAGGGTATTAGGTAACCCTTTGGTGATTGAGGAGACAACTCGGTAGGGTGTTGAAACACGCTTGCTGCGCCATTCTCCCTAACACGGAGGTACGTGCGCCTTTTTTATCTGTCAGTAAAGTTCCCCGTCAGGTGAGCCCTGCAGATTCCTCCGTGGCCCCCAGCACTGACTCAGCGGAGGAGTCACTTGCTGGCCCACTACGTTGTAGGTCTGCCCGTTGGTCAGCCCGCGTTTTGGGTATAGGTGCCAGCTATGCGTGATCCCCACTAGGCGATCCCATATGCTTATTCCGCCACGGTTAAGTCCCCCCCCTGGGCGGACCCGTGTCTTCCCTCTCCGCTAACCACTCTTTTGCTATGCGTACTCCCCCTTTTTAGGGCTAGTCCACATGTAAATTCTGCCATCTATCCCCCCCTTGGGTAACGGATGGCCTCCGCAGCGTCCTCCCTATCGGGATTGCACGCTTCCCAACGTACTGTCGTATTCCTAGAATTATCTAGATGCTCACGACTTCCCAAAAAATATATCTAAATCCGTAAAACTTCTGTTGAAGTAGGATAAATTAGGGCCAGGGACACGTTGGAGGACCGCGCCCCCCATGATGTGGGTGCGTCACGCTTGCTTGACTATCTCCTCATCGGGGGTGTTGGTAAGGTGCAGTCATTATGGCGCTTTCAATGGGCTCCCAATGCGTGGATTTTACAAATCAAATCCACTTATAGTGCTGAAGTTCCCCCCGAAGGGGAACGTTCGAGGTTACTAAAGTAACCCTTCGTTCCCCGAGGAGGGGAACGGAAGCACTATACTCCGTCGCCATAATGACTGTCCCTTAGCTGTTTGAAAGTCTCTTCAGCTTAAAAGGATGGCGTCTGCTGGCTTCAGGTGTGCTTATACAGTATGCTGAGATAATTGCAGATGTCGCACACCTGCGCAAGCTTACGCTGCCAATTAATTTCATTCATTGGCCCGTTCAATACTCTCCAGACAAGCGGCTTCTGATCCGAATCCTCCCAATGCGTGGATTTTACAAATCAAATCCACTTATAGTGCTTCCGTTCCCCTCCTCGGGGAACGAAGGGTTACTTTAGTAACCTCGAACGTTATTTATACTGAGTTAGGAATCGTCTTGGTGGTTCGTACATTAGTTTGACTCTGGCCAGCCGTGTCAATCATAAGCACGTGATCCTCTCGAAATTAGTTTATAAATAAACTTCACAATTAAATTCAAGCAAAATATATAAAAAATAAATAAATACATCTTTCAAAAATCTTTCAATATTTTTGCTTTTTCCTCCTTTTTAAATTTCTATTTTAATTTTTTTTATAACATAAATTTGGGTGTACTAGTTTTTGGACCATTATTGTAAGTTATTTTGTTTAGATAATCTCCAGATTTGGCTTCAGCACTGACTAATCTAATGTATATGCACAAATAATACTGTATTACTAACTATTAAAAATATGAATTTAAAAGATAGGTTTGTGAGGGGTGTACTTATATATGCTGAGCACTGTATAATATGTGCTAATATATAGAGTTATTTTTATAAACTTACATTTAGTTGTTTTGAATATTTTAATTACACATGAGTCATTTCTTAATGCACCTTTCTAGAAAATATTAACAAAACAGCATGGGATAAAATAATGTCAGGTACCTGAGGACTGATTATATTACAGGCTAACCAAGGTTACATGGCACACATGAGCCTGAGGGTCTTTAGTGTTGGTTCGTTCTTGTTTGTGTGTGTGCGCGTGTGTGCGCGTGTGTGCGCGTGTGTGTGTGTGTGTGTGTGTGTGTGTGTGTGTGTGTGTGTGTGTGTGTGTGTGTGTGTGTGCGCGTATGTGTGTAAGTGAGCATCTAACAACATGTGGTCCTGTCACACCTGATACTGCACCACAGGTGTTATATCATCATTAAGCAAAAGGTGTCCACACACATATGCCAGCCAACGTTTACGACTAAAAACAGACACACAAACGCGCATAGACATGGGCCGGTATAAGATTCTGATGGTACAGTATGATAATTTTGGATAAAAATGACACGGTTTCACTGTTTGTGATTACTGCTCTAAAATATATTCTTTTTAACTGTCTGGGTAAAAAAACAAAAACTTTTTTCTATGTATATTTTTCTTTAATATTTCATTCTGAGAAACATTTAAAATATTTTGGAGCAGTAAACATCAGCCAGGCTAAATAATTCAAATGATTCATTGTCTTTATTAGTTTCAAAAACCCAGATTTCTTTACAATATAAAACGGCATCTTTGGAGATCTTTTTTTGCTGGAGATACTGTTGCACTAAAAATCTTAGTAAAACACGTAAATAAAAAATTGTTAAGCACACCTTAAAATGGTATAGCAAAAGATTTTGCCGGATTTAAAACTTCGACTTTTCCAAACCGAGGTATACCAGAAAACGGTTATTGTCCCATGCCTACAAGCATGTACACATTAAAATAAAAACACGAATAAACACACACAACACACTTACACAAATAACAAATGGCAGATGGAACAAAGATATTTAGTTTGCATTAGTTTGTTTGTTAGTTTGTTTGTTTGTTTGTTTGTTTGTTTGTTTGTTTGTTTGTTTGTTTGTTTGACTTTATTAATCCCAAAGGAAAATGCATGTCACAGCAGAGCTCTCCAAACTAAAGATAGATAGAAGTTACATATACAGTTAAAGTCAGAATTATTAGCTCCCCTTTGAATACTTTTTTATTTAACTATTTACCAAATTATGTTTAACAGATCAAGGGAATTTTCACAGTATGTCTGCTAATATTTTTATCTTTTGAAGAAAGTCTTATTTGTTTTATTTTGGCTAGAATATGTTTTTGATTGCTAATAATAGTTTTTATTAAAAAAAAAACATTTTAAGGTCAAAATTATTAGCCCCTTTAAGCTATATTTTTTTGTTAGTCTACAGAACAAACCATCATTATACAATAAGTTGCCTAATTACCCTAACCTGCCTAGTTAACCTAATTAACCTAATTAAGCCTTTAAATGTCACTTTAAGCTGTATAGAAGTGTTTTGAAAAATATCTTGTCAAATATAATTTACTGTCATCATGGCAAAGATAAAATAAATCAGTTACTAGAAATGAGTTATTTAAACTATGATGTTCAGAAATGTGGGAATATATTTAATAATTTGGGAAATATTTAAAAAAGAAAAAAAATTCAAAAGGGGGCTAATAACTCTGATAAAACAGTCTCAACTGTTGACTCCTGTATAATCACTGGCACCGCTTGTTGTGGATGTCTGCTAAAATCAACAATCATTTCTTTGGTCATATTAGTATTTAATTCAAGACAATTTGTTTCAAACCATTCAGCAAACCTTTTTAAAAGCAACCTTTACTCACTCTCATCATGATCTTTTATATAACCAACATTTGCAAAGTCATCAGAAAACTTCTGTTGATGAAAATTTTTGGAGCTGTATTGAAAATCTGACGAATAGAAGGTAAATAAATATGGAGCTTAAAACTTATGCATCTGCGTTCTATTTGTGATATAGTCACATTACATGTCTGAAAGTTAAAGGATGACATCAATAACGATGTTTTCATTACTCTCATCTTTTTATTAAAAGGTCATACAAAAACATTTCTCCAGTAGTGTAACATTTTCGATTTTACCTCATTATTCTTCTGACTGGACAATTCAGAAGTGAAGTACATTGAGTATATCGTCAGTTGTTTTGTAGTGTATTTGATGGCTTACATTCATTACTCATGCATTGTTGTTTCTTCTCTAAGCTAGCACTAATCAGGCATATTTTGTTTCCAATAACACAAACACAAATGAGCACTAAAATGGAAAACTGTTACATAGAATTCAGACAACAGGATAAAATGTACAAAAACAAGCCCATGAGATTTGCACTTGTACTTGGCACTGTTTGTACTTGTAAAATGTCAATATGTGTAAACAGTAGATTAGATTTCCATTGTACTATCAGAGACTTTTAAAGTGTTTCAGATCATTGTAGTTTAATTGCAAGATTATATATATTTTACTGGAGACTAGAGGCTAGTTGTCAGACAGTAAACTCACAAAGCATAACTGAAGTAACCACATGTTTTAAAGGTTAAAAATGGCTTTTCTTATTTAGATTTTTTATTTTATTTATTTCTTTTTTTTTTTGTCTTGCTTCTAGTCCAAAAATCAAAAATTCTTAAATCAAGAAGCATTTTCTAAACAAGCAAAAATATGATCTTGTTTTAGACATAATAATATGCTAAAAGGTTTTTTTTTGGATGACTGGATGACTTTTCAGGCTTGGGTTGAAAGACTGCTGAATGCTGGAGATGTGGGAGCGAAGGAGACTTGATGGATGCCCTGTGGTCCTGTTCTAAAATACAGGAATTCTGGGTTAAAGTGCACAATTACATTCAGGATGTTTCTGGATGCTGCTTTTTCCTTTTGTCCTGGAATATATGTATTGGGAGACCCGTTCATGTTGGGGTCTGGTGTGAAGATGTCTGAGTGAATTCAAATTATGATCGGAAGACAAATCCTTATGAGGGGATGGCATTCAGCAGGTCCACCATCATTTCAAAAATGGGTTACGGAATTGGGAAAGGTGGCCGCATATGAAAAATATTGATTTCTTTTTTAAATTGGATGTTTATCAGAGAAGATGGGGAAATTATTTGGCATTTTTAGAGGAGGAATAAGGTTACTGTGTGGAGATGCAAGGTAGAAGTGTAATTATCTTATTTGATTCCTTTAGCTATTATTATTATTGTGCTGTTGTTTATTTATTTATTTTACTATTAATAATTCCTGTATGTGTGCTTTTTTATTCATTGAGTTTATATAATTTTTTCTGTATTTACTGGATTTATGATAGCAATATCTAATTACTGCAGTTGGGGAGGGGAGGGGAAAGTGTGTGTTTAAAGGATGTAAAAATATGTAAATTGCTTGTGCTGTTAAATTAATGAAGACAATAAAAAAATGAATCATAAAAAAAGAGAAATAATATGGTAAAATTATAGTAATTATTATTATTATTTGCTAAAAGAAGCTAAATAATCTGCCTATGGGGTAAGCAAAATAATCGTGTTTTTTTCTGTTTTGACATAAGATTAGTTTGTTTACTTTATTGGCAGAATATTTTGCTTGTTTTGAGGGGAAAAAAACACTTAATTTTGGCATATTATTTCCTAAAAAAAGCCAGTATGTTTTGCTTGTCTAGAAAATGGTATTTTATTTACCATGAGTACTTGGAGTAAGAACCCAGCTCCACAAATGATCATTACAGGTGTCATCAGTGCTTGTCTTCTTGTCCGCTGGCCTTCTGCTCGCTCAGTGAGGTGGCTAGGTAGCCTACCAGCGTCATGTACTCCTGGAAACTGACCTTCCCATCCTGGTTGTCATCCAGTCCTCTCATCATTTCCTTCACTGCCGAAGAGCTTTCAGTGTCCTGAGAGAATCGGAAAAAGTGTCAAATGCTAAACTATTTACAGTAGCATTATCAAAATGAGCATGGGGACACATACAGTACAGTGAGTTGCAGCTATGAGTGAAAAATCATACAAAAAAGAAAAATGTAAACAATAGAATGATTACAATATAAAAAAGAATACAAACTTAATTGTAACTTTTATTCTAGCCGAAATAAAACAAATAAGACTTTCTCCAGAAGAAAGAATATTATCAGACATACTGTGAAAATTTCCTTGCTCTGTGAAACAAAATTTAGGAAATGTTTTATAAAGAATAAAAAAACTAAAAGGGGGTCTAATAATTCTGACTTCAACTGTATACACTTAAAGAGCAGTTAATGATCCTCTTGTTTTCTTTTGTCATTTAATTTTCATTAAGGAAAGTGTCATTTTTAGAATGAAGCAATGAACACATTCGATAATTGTTTATGTTCATTAAACGTAGAACAAATTGCACTGTAAAAAAATCCATAAATTAGCAGTTTTCCAACACAATCTCACGGCAATTCGTAACTTTTTCATTTAGTGGCTAATTCGTATGAATTCGTACGATCTAATTCGTACAATTTAGTACGATTTGCTTATCCCCCAATGACGGTTGGGGTTAGGGGTGGGGTCAGGTGCCACGCCTCCTTTTTAAAATCGTACCATTTCGTACGACTGAACTCGTACGAATTCGTACGAATTAGCCACTAAACTGGCAAAACGTAAAATACTTACGTTTTCTCGTGAGATCAGGCTGAGTTTTTCGTATTTTGTGATTCTTGTTTTTATTTTTACCCATTTATTTATGTTTTTGAATTGCATTATAGGAACTATATCTTTCTTCCAACAACTTTTAACCTTGAAAAGTTAAAAAAAGTGACTTTTATTAACATTTAAATTTAGTTTAAAGTAATATATTTGGGTTGTAATAAACTGCCAGTACATTTTCTGTTATTTTAAAGACTTATTTCTCTATATATTAGTTCTTATACATTATCTTATTTTAAACTACAAAAATGTCGATAAAAGTCACTTTGTTAATCTGTATAGTTGAATTTTCGATATCAAAAGTCGTCAGAGCAGAGATCAAGCTCCCATATTGCAATTCACAACCGTAAATAAATGGAAAACACTTTTTAGTCACAAAATACGGAAACTTTTAAGTAACATATTTTTACAGTGTGTGTTTAAGTGCAAACTAATTTGTTGTGACACGACAGGACGTAAAATTAGAGGGGAGATGGGATCGAGCAGCCTGATCTCAAGAAGAAACGTAACTATTTTATGTTTTGTCATTTTGGCTAAGTCATACAAATTCAGTCTAAATGTTCAGTCGTAAGAAAATGTAAGATTTTAAAAAGGAGGCATGACACCCAACCCCACCTCTAAACTCAAACATAATTGGGGGACAAGCAAATTGTACTAAATTGTACTAATCAGAAAAGTTTGTTAGTCTATGGCCACATTTTGATATATTATTTGTGCTTCACTCTAAAAAATAAAAAGTTCACTCAACTTAAAACAGTAAGGCAACTTTCTTCATAGCTTTTTGAGTTGACACAACTTTTAACCTAAAAACTGTAGTTGACTTGATTTAAGTTGAGTACACTTAAAAAGCTGTGCAGCAAGTTGCCTTACAATTTTTATTTACAGTATAAGCATACAACTGAATCCAAAGTAGCATGTATTTGTCCATGTTCCATCACTTCTCATATTACGTCCTTGGAAGCTACCTGTTCAGCAGTGCCTCTTCTGACTACAGCATGATTTGACTAAGAATTAAGGAAGAGCAGTAGGAGCAATGTGGAATTGTGCTTTCATAAGCATTGGAAGCCACATATAGCCCAATATATTTAGCCAACTAAAATTATATTAAATGAGCAGCCCTAATCTTTAAACCAATTAAAAGTGTCTCCTGTTGGTTCAGAATACTAATATAACTTGTATAGGCTTACTTATATTTACATAAATGCATTTGGCAGACAGTTCTAAACAATTTGTGTTGCAGTTCTTGCTTCCCCTTTGTTTTAAACCATCCAGCCTTGACATTGCAAGTGTCCTGCTCTATTATTTGAGCTACATTTGCACACAGGGAGCACAGGCACTGACTAAACCCTGGGTTATCTGCATTCTAAACCCCAGGTTTAACTCTGGATAACAGTACTTTTTACTCTGGGATATAAGAAACCATGCTCCAGGGGAGGATTAGCACCAGTTTTTCACTGCTGTGCAGATGCGTGAGGTGTGAAGTGATGTGTGAAAACATGCAGCATGAAACAGCTAATTTTATAAATCTTTAACAAGGTAACTATGGCCTATTCTAAACCTCGGATAAACAGAATCCAAGTTAGCTTGCTTTAAGTTTCACACTGCTCATGATTTACCCAGGGTTACACTTATTTCTGGTTATACATACTCTACTGTTACACACAGTGCAGTCCTGAATCCTGGAATAAATGTCCTTCTTTGCATATTTGCAGTGTCATTGTGTCAATGATTGGATGACAGTAGAACACAACCTGTTCATATGAAGGCACTAGTGTTGCACGTTCTCATGTTATATGCAGACTACACTCAAGTTTTTCCTGAATGACATTTTTGGGCTATAATGATTCTCTTCACTTCAATTGATACACTTTGATTATTTAAAGGGACACTTCACTCAAAAATAAAACTACTGTTATTTACTCATCCTCCACTTCCAAACCTGTATGGGTTTTGAGGCCAATGTTAAATGGTATTTTGATGTGATGATAGAGAAATGCCAAATACTGACAGAAAACCAGTCAATTAGAGGAAAGATTCAACAATTTCATAACATTGTCTGAAAAGTGCATCCATGCAAAAATGATAGTAGTACAAAATCAGACATAAGTCATTTTGGCAGCAAAATTTAAATGTAAAAAGTTTGTATATTGTCAAAACAATGAATTTTACCCACTTAAACTCTGCTGCTCTTTGGGGATTTCCGCCTGGATTTTGCCTACCCAAATTTAAAAGCTTCCCAAATCCACATAAAGATGTGTAAATGCAAAAATTTGGTATCATTTTAAAGAAAACCCTTTGAATTTTCATAAAACACTATTGAAAGTGTTTAAAATAACTGTATATGTCGTCTGTGTTATAATAAACACCTACAAAAAGAGCGTGCTGTAATTAATCTAGCGTGCTGTAATTAATTTAGGTGGTTCCTGCACATGTCTGTAATCATAGGAAAAAAGAAAAAGGTCTCTACCATAATCTATGCAAAAGTTATTGCATTCCAACTGATGAGAGGTGCTGTACAAGCCACAGGCACTATTCTTTTGTTTGATCAAACATAATTCACTGTGTTTGGACCAGATCAGACATATAAAAGGATTACTTATGCCCATCACCTCAAAAACAGAGGAGAATAGCCCTGAAGGGTAAGAGATGACAGCTGTCTGTGCTATCTGGGGCTGCTTATTGATCATGAATGTATTGTTTACATTTCTGCGCCATGGAAACACCACAATTAGTTCAACAGCTGTTTGGAATATGAATATAATTCAGTAAAAAGAATGCTAGAACTGTATGAGCACCGGCAAGAGCTTTCATTTGAGCTATAACTTGTACATGTGTCATATAAAAAAAATATGAAAATGAACAATGTAAAATACCTAGCTCGGGTATCCAAAATACTGTGTATTTAAGTGTAAATAACTTTTATACAGTAGAATGAAAACCAAAGTGATGCATATGTGCATAAAATATAGATTCTACACTTTCAAACGACACCGGTCTGGTGCAACACTAGCCCTTTAAATCTGAAAGCGAAAGTCAATGACGTCACGGTACCGGTACCGGGTCCGGAGAGTTTAAGTGGTTTGAAGTTTGGAACAGTGTGAAATGATACTTTATGTATACCATGAATTAATTGTTAAATGTGAAATCAATATTGAGTAACTTTTTTTGTAAAAAAAAAAAACAAACAACAAAAAAAAAAAAAAAAAAAAACAATGAGGCATATTCTTGAATTTAACTCTTTAACTGATGCTCAGTAGTGTGAAATGCTTTTCTCTATCTTTAATCATTTGTATAATGTAAATGCTGCCCTTGTGGCCAAATATATATAGAGATATTAGGAAATATTTGTATGTTTAATGTTCATTCATTTGTCAGACCCCAGAGTGGCACCTATTTTTACCCCTTTTCAAGATTTAAGATAAGTCTTTTGTGTCTGCAGAATGTGTCTGTAAAGTTTCAGCTCAAAACACCCATCAGATTATTTATAAGACATTTCAGAATATTGGAATTTTCTGCTCTAAACACAATGTAGCTGTTTTTGTTGCCTGTGCCTTTAATGCTAGTTCTCCCCGCCCACCGTTCCCACGTGCCTGTCAGAGTGTGCTTCAATTTGCATCTGATAAGCAGCACAGTGAAAAACACGAAGGAAGCAGATCTAATGTAATGTTTGTGAGAAATACTACAGTAAGAACTTTCCCAATGATTATTAAACGTATTTATTACGGAGTTAATTAAAGCATTTGTGCAACATTGAGTCACACACAATGTCGTTACAAAGTTCATGCACACACACACACACACAGACACAGCGGACACACACAGAATGCGCGTTTAACTTTGCACTGTTTTTGCATGGCAAATGCGACAGGATACACGTTAATATCCACTACTGTACGTATATTTGTTAAGTTAATGTACAAAATGAACCTGAATGAACTGGGATTGAAGAGTCTTCTTTTATGATTGTACTGACATGTGGCTGTGGTGAAAAAGACAGTAAAATCGCTGTAATTCATTACAAACATGCACTGTTTTAAAAAATGTTTTAAACTTGTAAAACACACTCTTGAACACATTTAACGATGACCAATGATCACAGAGAGCTGAACAGATCTTTTAAGCCCTGTTGCTTTGTGAACGTCCTGTCTTGTTGATATGATTATACACGTTACTAAAACATGTTAATATACCGTTGTCAATTAATTCGGTGGGCGGGGAAACTGGACTGGACACACTATACCTACACACAGTTCTGTCCAAATAGCTTTCAAACGTTTATTTTCATCATAGGTGCCCTTTAAACCATCAATCATCAACATTTATCTTGAAGCATATGTGTCAGCTAAAAAAAAAAGATGTGTTAAAAACATTGGAATATATGAGGGAATTGATGTGCTTACACTAAGGATGTTTCCCAGCTGGCTCTGGACTAACTTCTGGAAGTTCTTTCCACCCAGATTCTCCTTCCCCCGTGCTGAAGACAGGTACTGCATGACAACTGTTTTAATGGCGCCTTCCATGTCTGTAACAAGAGCAGAACAAAAAAAGATAACATTATTTACATTTCCACTCAGAAACAGTTTTTTTTCCTTTTCTTTTAAACAATACATTTTTACATTTACTTTTAGATTTTACATTTACTTAAATATTTTTCGATCTATTCACCTACTTGATTGTTTTGAAGGAGCAGTACGTTTTTGGACACCTGCAATTTCAAGTGTTTCAAGTGACTTTGAATTATAATTTTTTTGTTGCACTTTATTTGCAATACTTATTTTGTAAAGCTCAAAATGGGTTTATTATCTCCTGCACTAAGCCAAACATCTCCACTCAGATGCATTTGTGTACACAAAACTTCATAGCTTTATTCACATCTGTATCCTGAAACATTTTTATTGTTTTTTTTTTTCCCCAAATAACTTGATCATATACATTTTATTCTACAATTTTATTTCTGGCTGTTTGCAAAGTGATAAAATACACCAAATTCAGTTTATAACAACATTTGACTCTAATATGTAAAAAGAACAAGAGAACTTGGAAACTTCTGCCATCCATTGTTTAGATCTATCAGCTAGAAATATGTGCAAAGTAACACATATTTATTTAAATAAAGCCTCATTTCAATATTTAAATATGAAATGTTTGAAAATCTGAAAAAAAAAATAAATAAATAAAATTTGCCATTCTTAATGTGATCACTCAGTTACATTTACATTTAAATATTTAATCATTTTGGAGTCGCTTTTACACAAAGTGACTACAAATAATGATAAAAAAGCTCTTCAAATCATTAAAGAACAGAAATATATAGAGTAAAAAAACTCTGTTAATTCAACAGTTTTTGTATTTTGGGATTCACAAGTTTTTTTTTTGTTTTTTTTTTCATTTATGGTCGTAAATTGCATTATAAGACCTTGATCTCTGCTCTGTCAACTTTTGACGTTGAAAATTCAACTCTACAGCTGAATAAAGTGACTTTAATTGGCATTTAAATTGTTTGAAATTATATAATAGATAAGAAATAATATATAAAGCAGATTTTTATTTTATTTTTAAAGGCAGGGGCTAAGGTAAGGCCACAATTTACAGAGGGGGGCAAGTTTTTCAATTGGTGCTAGCACCATTTAAATTTTTATATTATTAAATTTTTTTATATTTTATATTATTAAATTTGCAATAAAGCGCACCTTTACCATTGACATAACAGCTCAAAATGGTAATTTAGATTTAGGTCATGACGCCAGCTGACCAAAATGTAATGTCTAGCCAGCATCTAAGGACAACGATATTTTGACGTTCAATAGTGATGTCAAATTACTTTGACATTTGGTTGATTTTGGATTGTGTTAGAAAATGACCAAAATCCAACGTCTGATAGATGTCATTGTGTTAATGTCCACACAGCGTCAAGGTGTAACATGATTAGATGTTGATATTTGGTAGATTTTAGGTTGGATATTGACGTCGGCCTGACGTTGGGTTCTGACGTCAACTCGATTTTCATTTCCAAACAAAATCCAACATCCCCATGACGTTGGAGTGCAACGTCAATTTGATGACATGTTGACGTCCTGTGCCTGCAGGGAGAAGAAGGGCACTACAGGGGCCAAACAGATTTAAACGGGGGCCGGTGCCCCTCTGGCCCCACCCCTAGATCGGCCCCTGGTATAGAGAAATAAGTCTGTAAAATAAAAGAAAATGTTCTGGCAGTTTATAACAAGGTTTACCTTAATATGCACCAACCCAGACAATATCAGTTTAAACTATTAAAAATGTTAACAAAAGTCACTTTTTCTAACTTTTCAATGTTAAAAGTTGTTGAAAGAAAGAGCTAGGTCCAAAAATGCAATAAAAAAGTAATAAAATAAATGGGGGCAATAAAAAATTAAAACATGAAACACAAAATACAGAAAACTGCTGATTTATGGATGTTTTTTACAGATGCCAGGACAAGTGTAATTTAATTTAGCAGTGTTAATTAAGAGTGTTTATAGAAAAGTGTCTGGCACATACAAAAAAAAAAAATGTGTGTTTCCAACAGGTGGTTTGTCCAGCCCACTCACCTATGTGAGGCAAGCTTATGATTTCTTGGAAAATACAACCATTTTGACACATTTCAGAACTTTTTTTAGTAAGACATAAAAAGTATGCAAAACATAGCTATTACAAATACTATTGTGACAATGTTAGCAAGTGCCATTTCAGCAGCTGCAGGTATGACTAAACGGAAGGGAAGGTGCTGGAAAATGAGTGACCTGAGGAGAGGGATGATGTTAGAATAACTAAAGAGCATGAAGAGAGGAGTGGAGGAGCTGTGGAGGATACAGCACATCACAATGGAACCTGTGATCTTTAACGGACATTCGATCTACTCAGGCCACTGGCTCAGGTTACGCTCGGGGTTGCCTGCTACATGTCTGTTACACTCTCTCTCGCATTCAACAACAACACGCACAAAAGCACAAACACGCTTGTTGAAGGATGGCCACTCGCACAGGCCTGTCCTCCTGCATGAACAGCCCTTATTATGCCTTCCCTAAACAACACACAAAGTTAAGTGATACAAAATCCTTCTGCAATTCATACTCTTGTATTGTACAGTAGATCCTATCACATATTTGACACTAACAAATAATTCATGATCTAATTTGGGTTTCCTTCCAGTGACATTTAGCATACTAATCCTTAACAGAAAAGAGGGTACAGTAAAATTACTAATGAAGGCTTTGGAACTTAAAAAGGACAAGCATTTTCATCTTATGGATAATAATCAATTAGTGGTGATCAATAGGAATATTAAATATTACTTATTATCTAATAAAACATTCAAAATTAATCATTTTGATATTATTTAATTACAAAACCCTGCATTATAACAGAGTTGGGTTTATGATGGTAATTGATTTTCTAGTTGCGATTAATTGCTGCACTGTAAAAAAATATATATATATGGACAATCAGTTGTGACAGCATATGTTTTAGTTAAATAAATATATATATATATATATATATATATATATATATATATATATATATATATATATATATATATATATATATAAAATATACGAGAGTTTGTGTGTGTGTGTGTTTTTACTACTATTTTTTTAATGGCAACAGAAGCTCCACCAGGAAAGGACCATCCACATCAAAAGCTACTGGTCATCCTATGACAAAACGAAACATGCTCATGCACCAACATCCAGCACGCTATAGACCTAACCAGCGCAGTAGCTTACTTTAAATGCAAAAAAATAAAAAATAAAGAAATATCCAAAGATGCCTTTTCGAATTGTAAAAAAAAAAAATCTGTGTTTTTAAAAACTAATGAAGACAGCAGGTCAATGATTAATTTTAGTTGTTAAGCCTGACATGTTTACTGCTTCAAAATTGTGGAAATGTTTCTTAAAATAAAATATATTGTGTTCAAAGGTTTTTTTTTTTTTTTAATCCAGACACTTTAAAAGAGAATATTTTAGAGCAGTAATCGCAATACCGTGGTACTGTGAAACCATGATATTTTCAACCAAGGTTTATTATACAGTCAGAATTTTAATGCCTACCTAAGAGTAATAAAGCTTTTGTAGTTTTCATTACAAGTTTAGTTAAATTAACTATAGGAGCTTTTTTGCTGTGCTAATGTACAATAGCCCTAGAAATAGTCATAGATTATTCACTCAATATTTCAGCATCTAGTAGGGCAGATTAATATGTGAAAATGCTCATATTTGATCTATTAAGCTGTTATAAACACCACTGCAAATACAAAGAGAATATTCTTAAAAAACACTTTGAAAGCTTAAATAATAAATCATGCTTCATTGTATTATGAAGTTCCCACAATATCAGTATTCTGCATATTTGTTTTAATGATATATTGAATTTTTCTAATGTTGGCATATGTCTAAATGTGAAAAAAAAAATTACGAATTGCATTGAACAGTCCCACAACACTCTTAAACACATTGAACAAATAACCATTTTTAAAAGGTATGTTATTTTTGACCCAATGATAGTTTCATAAAAACTAATAACATTTCTAAAAACTCACAATTGAACTTCAGACGCAACAGTTCACTGTACTTTTTTTACAATTATAATTTATTCATTTGAATCACTTTAATCCGTAATATTTAAATATTTAATATGCATTCATAAAATATCTCAATTTCTAAAACTAAAAAAAGACAACAAACATGGTAGCAATATATTGTACATCCCTTGTGTATGTACAGTATAATGAAGAAATATAGAAACATTGCTGCTTTTTTTTTAAATAGTTCATTAATCTTTCTACATAAAATAAATTACTTAAAATTGTAAAAAAAAAAAAAAAAAAAAGAATAATTTTGGGGGCAATAAAATGAACTTATTTGCTGTATATAAATAGAAACCTATAATTGCCTGTCATTACAAAGCCTGCATTTTAAGCACCCTCACTCACATGCACACACAAAATTAATGTGATTTTAATGTGGTTGTGACGTATGGGTAATTCTATAGGCCATCCTTTTCAGGTAAATCTTCCATCTGACAGACGTCACACCTGAATACTTACACTACACCACTAACATTAGTACACTACACCACTGCTCGGCCATCCTCCCAATCACTGATGGACCTCTATTAACCTAATTAGACGGACAGAAAGAGAGAAAGAGAAGAGAGAGAGAGAACCGAGCATGGTTTCGGAGAAAATTACTGGAGTAAGACCTGCTGGAATTGACTGATAATAACTAATTACTGTTGGACTTGTAAGCATAGCATTACTGTACAAGCAGCTGTGGAAAGACTTATTGTTTGCTTTCATTAGTCAATACATGCGACAGTAAGAGGTTTGTGTTTAGTGCGGAGAGACATGTCTTTCTGTCTAAAACAAATGTTGTCATTGCGCTAAATGAGGTGCACTTCATTAGAAGTGATACTCAAGCTCGACTGGCTCAGACAAAGATAGAAGCATCAGACGGAATGATTGATAGGTGCTCCTGGTGATTAGCTCCAAAGGACCCAAACAAACTG